GACACCGCAACCGGCCGACTAAGCGGCGTGAGAGTGGTGCGGTCCCGAAAGAAGGAGCGAGACGCCCCAGAGTCAAGGGTGAAGGTGTGAGAGGCCGAAGCCGACACGGTACCTGAGAGTGCAGACTCACTATTACCTGAGAGCACAGACGCACTGGCACCTAGAGCAGCAGCCTCACTGGCACCTGACGCAGCAGTACCAATGCCCGGGCCGGGCGGGAAACACCGGTAACACTCACCCTCATCACTAACAGTCACAGCATACATGGCAGCAAGGATAGCATCAAAGTCAAGATCAAAGATAGCTACACCAGCCCTAGACAGCTCTCCCCAGCGGGGGATCTCAGAGGCCTCCGGAAACTGCTGGCGCCAAGCGTCGGTCAGTCGGGCAAAGCGGCGGCGGGCGGTGTGGGTGCCCCCACACTGCTCACCCGCGCGGTCGCCGGTGCGAAGGACGTAGGTGCAGGGACCAAGCGCCCCACCACGCTATCGCTGCGAGTACCACTCACGGAGCTGCTGAGGGGCGGGGATGTCGCGAGAGCGCTGCTGCTGCTGCTGCTGCTGCTGGCGCTGACCACCCCCAGTGCTGCTCCGCTGGGACGAGCCACTCCGACCACCTCCACCACCGCCACCCCCGCCTCCGCCGCCACCGCCGCCACCGCCACCCTCGCCCCCGCCGCTCCCACCGCCACCTCCGCCACCACCTCCGCCTCCACTGCCGCCACTAGTACCTCCACTCCCGCCACCACCTCCACCGCCACCCCCACTCCCCCCGCCGCCCCCACCTCCTCCGCCACCGCCCCCGCTAGCTCCACCCGCTCCCTTGCCCCCCTTGCCCCTGCCAGAGCGGCGCCTACCGCTGGGGGCAGACGCCGCACCGACCGACTCCAAACCAACGAGGTCGGCCGCAGCAGCAGAGGCGACAGAGGGTAACAGGGGGGAGGGAGAACACCCCTCAAAGATGGGGGTGCGAGGGTCACCACGAGAGGCCCCTACAGCGACTATACTCTTCTCAGCCGCTAGCAGGGACTTCTCAAGGAGGCCGACAGTGAGGGTGGTGGGACAGACTGAGAGAAAATGGTCCCTAATGGCACGAAGGGACTCAGGGAGACGGGTGACTAGAAAGTAGAGGGTGATGTACATGGGAGGAGGGTTTGCGGCGCGGAAGTCAGCAGGAAGCGCAGCGCGGTAGTGAGTGTCACTAGCGAGGAGGTGGGTGAAGAGGTCAGCGACTGTGGGAAAGGCAGCAAGGTCAGGGAAGAGGTACGGTAGCATGAGGCGGCTCAGCGTAGCGGAGGAAGGGGAGGAGTAGCGCGCAACTACAGCGTCGTACAAGGCCTGAGCGGTCTTGCACTGACTAAAGTGCGCACGCTCGGAGGAAGGGAGGTGGCGACGCACAGCAAGACGTGCAGCAGCATCGCGTGTGGCCCACTTGGAGCGAACAGTGGGGTCAGCATCAGCAGGAGGGGCAGGGACAGCGCCAGAGACAAAGTCAAAGAGAGAAACCTCATCTATCGCTTCGCACAGTAAGTACAGCTGCAGGTCCTCGACCCAGACTGCAAAGTCAATGGCGCGACCCTCAGCATCAAAAGCCAGGACACTGGGGGTGGCCATTATAGCAGCTGACAGTCTCACTGGGCAGGAAGAGTCGGGTAGCTCAGTAGTACAGTAACACAGCAGCACAGCGGCTGCGCCGGTCCAGGAGCAGCAGCAGCCCCACAGGAGCAGGAGCTCGGCACCTCAGGTTGCTCGGGCGGCTCGGGCGGCTCGGGCGGTTCGGGCGGCTCGGGCGGCTCGGGCGGCTCGGGCGGCTCGGGCGGCTCGGGCGGCTCGGGCGGCGCAGGCGTCTCGCGGGCGGCGCACGGGTGACTGCACGAGCGGCCGGGGCGGGTCACGGGCGGCTGGGGCGGCTCACGGGCGGCTGCACGGGCGGCTGGGGCGGCTCGCGGGCTGCTCGCGGGCGGCTTGCAGCTGTGCACGGGCGGCGCGGGCGGCTCACGGGCGGGTGGGTGGCTCGCGGACGAGCTGCGCACGGGCGGGCGGCGCACGGGCTGGCGGCTCACGGACGGGCGGCGCACGGGCGGCGCTAGCGGCTCACGGGCGGGCTGGTGGCGCATGTGCGGGCGGCTCACGGGCGGCGCCGGCTCACGGTCGGGCGGCGCGCGGGTGGGCGGCTCACGGGCGGCGGCTCACGGGCGGCGGCTTCGCAGACGGCGGCGGCGCACGGGCGGCGTCTGACGGGCGGCTGCTTACGGGCGGCGGCTGACAGGCGGCGCTCACGGGCGGCGGCTGACGAGCGGCGCACGGGCGGCGGATAACGGGCGGCGCTCACGGGTGGTGCTCACGGGCGGCGGCGCACGGGCGGCGGCTCACGGGCGGCGGCTCACGGGCAGGCCGCGGGCAGCTCAAGGGCGTTAGGGCGGGCGCCGGGCGCTAGGGCGCTAGGGCTGGCGCTAGGGCGGGCGCTAGGGCGGGCGCTAGGGCGGGCGCTAGGGCGGGCGCTAGGGCGTTAGGGCGGGCGCGAGGGTGGGCGCTAGGGCGCTAGGGCGCTAGGGCAGGAAAAAAAAAAAGGTTTTCGAAGTGGTGGGCCCTAAGCGAAGTTCCCACAGGGGAACCTGCTCGATACCATGAGAAGAAGTGAACGAGAGAATGAGTGAACTATGAACGTAGTGAGTACAAATAGGAAACCCTAACTGGGTTGTACCCCCTATGGGATACCCCACTATAGCCTACACAAATAAGTAAGCTATAATGTTCTGACAGAAGTGTCATGGCTGTGCTTCTCGCCTTGAGAACAGGGTTTTTGTTCCTTTCAGCATGTACAGACCTGGACTGCAGATGATGCCGTTTCGACGGTGCGTTTATTTGTCTTACAACTTTTATTCCCAGAAACTAAGACACTTATGATGCTATACATTCGTCACCCAATTAGTTGTCGTTCCCGAAATGTTATTGTTTTTCAACCAGACCTTTTGAGTGAATGCTTACCGTTTTATATATACAAAACTAAATGGTTTGTTTTTCAAACAATTCTGAACCTACATCGAGGTTCCGACAAAACGATAGTTTCCCTGATGGCATCCGCGTCTGTCATAGTCACAGTAGGCTCCAATGTGCCTAAAACGAAAGATAGAGTGCACAGTTGGATTTATGCACAGCGGCTTCAAACGTTCATAGCGTTCCGGTCACAGCTTCAAATGACTTGATTCAACTTGGATCTGGAGCGTCTTATTGTCGTCTACACTAGGCAATTTAGATCGCACGATTTGACCAAGTATTGACGACACAGCGTTGGTTTGAACGAACGGCACTATGGCAGCCACTATAGTCTTAGAACACAAGATAGGAAGAGTTAGGGAGAGTTATGAGTTGGGAATGACTCCCAGCTCCTACAAACCCCAAGAGCCGAGGTACAGTGATGTGGAACAGTGCCACACTGTCCCCAACCACGAAGGGTCTCGAAACTACCCTTCACTAGGGCCTACACCAAGTGAAATGTTACACTACACAAAGTAATGTAACTATCTTCAATATCTTGGGGTGTACCCTGTTTCGCGGGCTTCGCGATTACTTGTATGTTGACACCAGGGCTCGGGTTCTTCATCACAAACTCATTCTTGAGTTCTTGATGGGTCTGCTGCACACACCTGCGACACGCCGAACGTTCGACAAGCGACAAAATAGAAACCGCGCACGACAAAATAGAAACCACGCGGGACACACAAAACGACCATGTTACACGCGACTAGCGATAATTCGCTATTGACTTGACACGCACACTTGACATCATGACCCATCACTCACACACTATTATAAGCATGAAATATATATTTATTTCATGCCCTCATTCCATTCCATGCACACATGCATGCACGCACACGGACAACAAGCCGAGTGCAAACTGTAGGGTTGCACCAACAGCATCTAACACGAGAGGTTCATGAACTCAACCTCAGCGGTTGGATGTGCTGAGGGTTTCGTTATCAAGGGCTAGGAGAGCTTCACGCGAGCCCTGAAACAACCGTGGGCGTTGTTCCTTGTCCATCTCCTTGCTCGATGTTTTCAAACCTTTGGCCTTACTCTATCGGCTCTGTTCGGCTGTTTGAATTTTGAGATTTCAAACTTGAGAACTCTGTGCCAACCCTAGCCCACGACCATAGCTACTAACCTCACCTTACACCATGCCTAGCATTTGGTACCAACCCTGGCCGGCCACCACATCCAAAAATCCGCCAGGCCTAGCGTCCAGTTCTCAACTGAGTAAGGGAACGTCATCTGCTGTGAACGCGTTACCATACCTCACCTCCCTCCCGAAGCCTGATTTAGTGACACAGTCATTACCACAGATTGCCACCAGGCCTTGCGTCTAGTTCAGCTTCGTCAACTGCTGTCGGCGCGTTGCCTCACCGCACCTCATTCCCAAGCCTGATTCAGTGACGAGCCCTACTTTCCACCGTCTCACCAGGAGTCACGCTATTTTCGTAGTATATAATGGCGGGTCCGCCTCATTTTCCGCACAAACTTACCGAGAATCACTCTTCAAAGCTTCTCTACTTTTTCCGTCATGGAACAGTCTAACGCAACTGCTTCCGCCCTAATCTCTTCCATCCGCGGGCGTCGCCAAAATGGCCGGTTTCCTGCGATGCTCGGAACCCAGGCAATTCGTGCTGCATCGATGGGACATGCTACCTCTCTCGGTATCAACGTGGCGGCTCGACCATCTTCTCCGAAAAGTGAGTTTTTTTATGTTGTTTTGTTCCACACCATTTTACGCTATGTTTCTAGCTTCCTTGTGTTGATTCCGCAGGCCAATGAGAGATATTGACACATTGTTGCTGGATCTCGTTTTTGCAGGTCCTGTTCGGACGCGCTCCTTACACGCTGTGTTTTCCGACGCGGTAGGAAGTCAGCCGCGTCACGAGGAGAATCGGTCGCTCAACACCAGTGGTCATGCTCCACAAATCCCGGCCTCGCGTGGTGATGCGACTTCCGCTCACGTCAATGGCGTGGGAACGCCATCTGCTCACCATTCTCTGCGTTCCGGAAGTCAGGGCCGGTCGGGTGGGCGGCAAGCAAGTCAGGCGGCCTGCCAGAGTTCCGCCAATGCCGCAGGGCGCACGTCTGGTGCTGCTGGCGCAGGCCAGCAGTTCCGCCACGCTGCAGGGAGCAACACCGCCGCTGATGCATCTCAGCAGCCCCACAGGTGCATGCTTTGTATCACCATCCATAGTCAAGACCAAGCAATCACCTCACACCAACCCCCTTTCCTCCACTCCCCTCTCTCATTCTCGTCCCTATTCATTGAAAAAAACCGCCAGCATAGTGCTCACAGGCGATTCAGGGGAGGTTGCTGAGGAATTTGTTCTCATCCCCCACCTCCTTCTCTCAACACCCGCTTCCCTTCTCTCTCCCCTAAACCCTTCTCACCCCATATCTCAGCAGTCCCACTGGTGCACAGCTGGTATCGCCGGCTGTAGTCGAGGCTACGCAATCCTCCACCCCACCCTCCTCTACTCCACTCCCCTCTCTCCTTCCCGTCCTTATGTGAAAAACCGCCAGCATAGTGCTCACAGGCGATTCAAGGGAGGGTGCTGAAGACTCTGTTCTCATCCCACCTTGTCTAAACTCCCACTTCCCTCCTCTCTCCCATGTGCCTTCCCCAAATCCTTGTGAGTAGACTCCCTGTTCCATGCCTTGTATCGCCAGCTGTAGTCGAGGCTAGGCAATAACCTCACCCCACCCCCCTTCACTCCCCTCTCTCCTTCCCTTCCCCTGCTCAGTGACAAAACCGACAGCTGAATGAGAGTCAGGGGCGCTGCCTGGAATATGGTTCTCATCCCTCTTCTGTTTACTCCGGCCCCGTCTTCTCTCCCTATGTTGCTTCTGTTATGCAATCCCATCTGTTTTGCAATGCCTGAATGTGTGTGCAGTCGATGGGTCTTACGATCTGTACACGTGGCATTGCAACCAGAACGGGGTCCCTTTCTCCAACGCTGTCTTCACGCGCTTGATTGCGGCGTCTTTCCGCCGCGATGGGGAGGATGTCCTTGTGCTGAAGCTCAAACAGATTGCTTTTTATCTGTATGGGGTGAGTGAGTGTAACGTCCTTTTCTGAATTGAGTGTAATGCATACTAGTTGTAATTCATCAATGCCTCCTTATGTCCATGCAGGTAGAGCACAAGATCATACATGGGGAAGAATTGCCCCGCAGCACGACAAGGAACAGAGAAGGTGTTGTGCTGTACCACAACAACGTGCGACGTTGGGCGTGAGACGCAGTCGACACGAGCACCAATGCTACGGGTCCCTGGTGGGACAGTGCCAACAATGCATGGCGCTTTTCGCGCTCAGACTGTGGCGTTTTTATTAGCCAGGAGGGTCTGGATGATATTTGAGTATGGCGTGGTGCTTGATGGGTAATAGCAGTTGAGGAAGGTCCTCAATTATTACTGTAGCACTCGTCTTGCTGAAAAACGAGTGCATATTAATCTGGAAATATATCCAGATTTATATTAAATATGTAATATATAAAATTGTTTTAAGAATTATGATTCACGTATACGGTAAAATTAAAATTTCTAAAATGTATTGTTACAATATGTAGTAACAAAGTAACGTAGTAGCGCCGTAACAGTTGTTTATTGATATGCGCATAGGAGAATTGCATTCTACGTTTGAGTGTATGCGTAACTAGAATCGTAACCAGGTAGACTCTATGTAATCGCCGGATTGATGTCGCAACCAATAAGAACAATCTGTCGCGAACCAATACGATGAAGTCGATGGCGATTGGGTTCACCGCGGTAGCCCATCCCTGCACACCAAGTAACGAGCTCCGATTGGTCAGTCATTTCAAAGTTACGATAAAGCAAGATTTGGGTGTAAATGAGATTAACGGCTGAGATTCAGTGGTTTAGATTCCGAGAAGTTTCTGTTGAAGCCGAGTCATTTCAAAGTTACGAGAGGGAATGTTGGCCACAATCTTTGGAGTAGGTGTTGGAAAACCTACTGAAATGTTACCCCAATGTTGCCAGGTGGTAAGAAACGAAACCCCCGCGTTTTGGGATGAGGGTCGATGGCTGCTGTGTCGCAGAACGGAAGAGAATTAGCTGCAACAGTATGGCATGGCATGGCATGGTAGTATGGTATGGTATCGTATGGCATTGCATGGCATGGCGTGCCATAGCATGCCACGGTATAGTATGAATGGTATGGTACGATACGGTACGATACGGTACTATACGTTACGGTACGGTAGGGTAGGGTAGGGTAGGGTAGGGTAGGGTAGGGTAGGGTAGGGTAGGGTAGGGTAGGGCAGGGTAGGTAGGGTAGGGTAGGTAGGGTAGGGTAGGGTAGGGTATGGTAGGGTAGGGTAGGGTAGGGTAGGGTGGGTAGGGTAGGGTAGGGTAGGGTAGGGTAGGGTAGGGAGGGTAGGTAGGGTAGGGTAGGGTAGGGAGGGTAGGTAGGGTAGGGTAGGGTAGGGTAGGGTAGGGTAGGGTACGGTAGGGTAGGTAGGGTAGGGTAGGGTAGGGTAGGGTAGGGTAGGGTAGGGTAGGGTATGGTATGGTATGGTATGGTATAATATGGTATGGTATGGTATGGTATGGTATGGTATGGTATGGTATGGTATGGTATGTCGTGGTATGGTATGGTATGGATCCATGGCAATCTGTTTCAAGAACTCAAGTGCATCTCTAAAATACATGTGTGGCAAATCCTTTCATGTTATATGAACGCGTCTTGAATAATGCTGCAATTTCTCGCCAATTTTTTTGAACTCTCTTTCCTTTCCCATGCGTTCTTCCGATTTGTGTTTTGATATGGTCCCTTCAGCATGCTTCAAGAAAACCCTTCCGGCACAAGCTAAAAATAACCCACACGCAGTGTAGCACAACGGCCGCATACTCCTCTCACCCACACTCCTATCTTATAACCCTAACGTGACATCCCATCCCAGTGTTTTCTCTGTGGCGCGTGCCTGACTTGCTGCCGTCGTTTCTGCTCACGGGCGGGGAGGTTTCATGGTATTTGCTGTCAGGGGCTGACCTCATGGCACCAGGCGTGCAGGTGCGAGTGGGGTTAGGGTTTAGGGTACAGTGCAGTAGGTTACAGGGAGAGGATAGAGTGCAGCTACTAGTGCTTCAGATGTCTCCCGCTGCATGCTGTCAGGGGCTGACCTCATGGCGCCCGCCATGCGTGCAGGTATCGAGAGGGTATTGTGCAATCCGCAACTAGTGAACGGCAGATGTTTGTATCAAACTCTCTTTTCACTTGGTTTTTTTTACAGATTCGGAAAGTAGTCACCATTCACAGTCCTTCAGCGTCCCGTCCCCAAACCTCCCCCCTCTCCCCAACCTCCTACGCACCCCCCCTCTCCCCCTTTCTCGTCCCCACCCCTTTCCCCCCCAAACTCCCTCGTTCAGGTCTTCTCCCCATTTGCAATGTTCAACTGCCAGGTGCCTGCCGCAGGCCTGCCATGGTTTCAACCTGGGGAGGTGTGGTCCATGAAGGTTCTAGGAAACTCCAGCCCTATTGCTGTAGGTGTAATGTGCCTCTCAATTGCCCTTATCAAGTGCCCTTATCTTGCATGTGTGCTTCCAATCCTTCTTTCTTAGTGTTCTCTAAACCCAAAAACTGTCTTAACACACGCAGTTTGTGCTTCTAGCTCTTCTTTCTTAGTGTGTGCTTGCCTGTGCCCGTGCGTGCCTGCGCCCGTGCGTGCGTGTGTGCTTCCGTGCGTATATCCGTGTGTGTGTGTGTATGAGTGTGTTTTGTGTGTGTGTGTGTGTTCGTGTGTGTGTAAAATGGACCATATTTTACAAAAACCGTATCTTTAAACCCTGATGCACACATCCGTTCACTCACACAAGATGGGCATCACATAGGTAGGAAGTGAAGAGGCACTTTAGGCAGGCATGAGGGGAAAGCTCCAGTGAATTACCCACTACTACTGTGACTCATTATGGTCAGTATGGTTGACTTGATACACACAGTGTTCTCAATCAGCGTGCTCGTAGCGTTGGTAATGGGTAGGGCGAAAGCGTCGCACGGTCGAACAACGATGATCTGTTCCGCCACACATCTCTGGTGGAAGAGAACAAAACCCAACAGTCACCCGAGCTCACGGCGGCACTCTCTCAAACCCCAATGACTGTTGGTCTGTCTTCGAGTTGAAACATCCGCCACCTTTATTTAATCTCCTACACTGTTGTCCCCAATTGATTGTTTTGTGGCCTTTGACACCTATAATTATCCATTGGGGGGAGGGGGGGTCTGAAGTCTAGTCAAGGCCACCCCTATAATGATTGAAGATATGGAATTCTTCACTAGACCTCAGACCCCCCCTCACCACATCATCGGTCAGACATTCTTCACTGTCAACCATTTTTGTTCTCGTGGTCCAACACTGGTTCATCCCATTCTCCGGTTCCTACTCCTACAGATGCCCTTGTATTTACATATGGCCCTTTCCCTCCCTCCTGTCCCATCCCATCCTCCCCACGATGTTGCTACACGAAGAGTACAAAGGCTCCTATGTCCCCAACAATCGCTTCCTGCCAGATATGGTTGCGCCTTTTGAGGCGCCTCAAAACCGAACTACCCTCCCATCCTACCCAATCCTCCCTGCGATGCTACCACAAGGAGAGTGCAAAAGGACCCTATTTTCCCAACAAGGGCTTCCTGCCAGATATGGTTGCGCCCAACCCTGATGCCATGCCTGCACTCTTGGATGCAACACCTGGCGTTTCACCTGAAGATTCACATGAAGGTTCACCTCAAAATTTACGTGAAGTTTCACCTGACGATGAGTCTGGTGCTGCTGCAGCTTGGGGAGGGGAGAGGGAGGCGCGGCAGAGTGAGGGTATGAATGATGGAGAGGGAGGGGCAGCGGCAGTGACTGGGGAGGGATTGGCAGCAGCGGCAGCAGGAGCAGAAGGAGCAGCAGCAGCGGAAGCAGTGGCAGCAGATTTATCAGAGCACCCGTCAGAGTCTCTGCACTGTCTAGGCATCCATGGCAGTGCTGCTGCTGATGCTGGTTGTGGTGGTGATGGCGATACTGCGGCTACTGCTGCCTTAACAGCTGTTTTTGGGAGGGAGGGGGTTCAAACAGCTGCACCAGGTGCACAAGAGTGCGTACATGTCTTGAGCACATTGTGCATGGCATGTGTCCGAATGCTGCCATGTCTTGAGCACAATGTGCATGGCATGTGTCCGAGTGCTGCCATGTCTTGAGCACAATGTGCATGGCATGTGTCCGAATGCTGCCATGTCTAGAGCACAATGTGCGTGGTATGTGTCCGAATGCTGCCATGTCTTGAGCACAATGTGCATGGCATGTGTCCGAGTGCTGCCATGTCTTGAGCACAATGTGCATGATATGTGTCCGAATGCTGCCATGTCTTGAGCACAATGTGCGTGGCACATGTCCGAATGCTGCCATGTCTTGAGCACAATGTGCATGGCATGTGTCCGAGTGCTGCCATGTCTTGAGCACAATGTGCATGGCATGTGTCCAAATGCTGCCATGTCTTGAGCACAATGTGCATGGCATGTGTCCGAATGCTGCCATGCCTTGAGCACAATGTGCATGGCATGTGTCCTAGTGCTGCCATGTCTTGAGCACAATGTGCATGGCATGTGTCCGAATGCTGCCATGTCTTGAGCACAATGTGCATGGCATGTGTCCAAATGCTGCCATGTCTTGAGCACAATGTGCATGGCATGTGTCCAAATGCTGCCATGTCTTGAGCACAATGTGCATGGCATGTGTCCGAATGCTGCCATGTCTTGAGCACAATGTGCATGGCACGTGTCCGAATGCTGCCATGTCTTGAGCACAATGTGCATGGCATATGTCCGAATGCTGCCATGTCTTGAGCACAATGTGCATGGCACGTGTCCGAATGCTGCCATGTCTTGAGCACAATGTGCATGGCATGTGTCCGAATGCTGCCATGTCTTGAGCACAATGTGCATGGCATGTGTCCTTATGCTGCCATGTCTTGAGCACAATGTGCATGGCATGTGTCCGAATGCTGCCATGTCTTGAGCACAATGTGCATGGCATGTGTCCGAATGCTGCCATGTCTTGAGCACAATGTGCATGGCACGTG